GTAGGTATGTATGTATGTATTTATGTATGTATGTATGTATGTATGTATGTATGTATGTATGTATGTATGTATGTATATGCACACGCAAAGCGTATTACCTATAAACATAGATGTCATCATGGTTGTGGCACTCGAAACCTGACTCAAAAACCCATCACATGCAGATCCTTATGCCGCGTATTGCTTGAAGCAGACTGAGGCCCCGGATACATTTGCTTCCTGGGAACCTATCGAAACGTCAATGCTGGAAACTTCCGCATCACGGCTCACATATGGGAGGGTTGAAGGGTTTCAAATAAACCGGCAACGCCAAGACATCCACCTCACTAGGAACTAGGAACAGTTCTACCAGTAATGGCAACCAACATGGCAAACAGCCATAGAGCAGGAGAAGAGGAACACTGGCAAGCAAACTAGTAATGTTTGCTGCAACCGAGCAACAGCATCAGGAATAGCAGTAGAGTAGCAGCAGCAATAGTTGAAAAGTTATATTAATGCCAAGTGTGGCCTTGGCAGAGTGTGTGATTACACCCTGAGCAGCCCTGCCAAGCTCCTGGTTGGCACTTGCACAAGGCTCAACCCAAACAGACTGAATCCCCAACTCTATGCCGAGATCCAAAGCAGCGCTTCAAGATCTCAGAATAAATTGTGGCTATCCCGGTCGTAGTGTCGTGAATACTTTTGCAGTAACCGTTTCAGCATGGTCACAAGTTCCGCTACTCGTACCAAAGTTGCGCTCTTCGTCCTTTCTACCACCATGGATACAACTGCGGCTGCTGCTGCTGCTGCTGCTGCCACATCTCAACAGCAACAATTCTAATTAGACTGCCGTACGAGCGTTGAGGACGACTCCTTCAGTTGCTGCTGAGGCAGCAACATTTGTTCAAAAACCCAAACCCTGACTGCAAAATACTCCAAATTCCTGCTTCGCAGTGCCAGGGTGTTCCTGGTTTTGTTTGTCCGTTTCTGGGCTCTCGAAGGTGACAATGGAGACTATGTCTCGGCACGCAGCAGCGGGAATGACCTCTATGTTTTCCCAGGCCAGCTTCGGAGCCATGCGGGAGATTCAGAAAATCTGGGGCCTGACTACTGGGATCCATATGCTATATATATATATATATGATTATAAGAGCTCACGAAAAGGTTGCAGAGGCCCTGCAAATGCATAGGGTTTGCTGAACCTAAGGAGTTTGGTCTGTGGGGTTGTCATGAAGCTGACCGTAAGGGTTGTGGTAGATGATGATTATGACGAGAATGCAGTAGGTGTAGCATTCCTTCACGTCAGGACAGCGTTTCTTGTAGATGGTGCCAGCAAAGCATCATCGAAGAATCGGGGGGCTTTGCAATAGTTAAACAGCGCTGATAGGGGCAAGAAGTGATAGGCAAGCCTCGATATTCATTAGCGCTTTGCCCATATTGCCCCTAAGCATTCGGGGATTTTCATGCTGTGCACTTTCTGCGCTGTTGTCTTTTTTGGAGATGGAAGCCTGCGGGTGCGATCTATCTTGCTGCATGCCTTACTATGAAAGGACGGCAGTTCGGAGCCCCATTGTGGAGCTGGCAGGCTTGATTGCACACAAGTTGTCGCGGCTTGTCGGGACCCCGGAAAAGTATAGCACCAAGGGAGCACAGACGATCCTAGAGGCGTTGCAGCGATGCCGTCGTACCGATGGCATGTCGAGCCTCCAGGCCCTGGGTCGTGCCACCATGCTGATTTGAACGCAAGTCCATCACTCCGGAGTGGCGCGATGTCCAAAGTCCGAAAAAAGGCCGCTTGCAGGAGTGTCTTTGGGGGTTTAAAAAACGAGTTGTTACGTCTTTCTGGAGTGCTCGAAAAGTCGGATTTTGTCAGAATGATACTGATGCTGCTGCTGATGATGATGACGGCGATGGCGATGATGATGATGATGATTCTGATGATGATAATGACGATGGTAGGGTTTAAGGTCTATGACAGTACCTTATGTTCGCCCTTACTTGACGGGTAAACGAGGACGGAGATGTACCTTATGTTCACGCTTCATGTGAACCTTACGTTTGCCTTGTGCTGCCGGATTCTGTGCTGGAACTTCGCATGAAACCTGCAGGATTCGGGGACTGGAGCATGTGAGAAGATGAGCATACCGCTCCAAAGAGGCTGATTTCCGAGAACAAGAGGCAAATTGCTCGAGCATTGGAAAAACAGGAGAAAAGGAGCAAAGATCTAGAACGGGACCAGAGCGATTGACAAACAGGAACGGATCGCGCGAAAGATACTATAGCATATGAAAAGCAGAAGCATGCCGCTTGACATGGCAAAGTGGAGAAAGAGGTGCAAACCGCTCAAAGCGGACTCGAGCCTTGGAGAAAAGGAGCAAACCGCTCGGGAAGGACTAGAGCAAGAGAGACAAACACAAATCGTTTCAAAAAACCAAAGCAGTTTAGAGCAAGGAGCAAACCGCGCGAAAGGAACCAGAGCATTGAGGAGAATTGAGCAAATCGGTCGAAAGCGATTAGAACGATTGACAAACAGGCGCGCGCCGCTCGAAAGCAACTACAGCATTTCTGACAAAAGGAGCCAAACACTGGAAGGTATTGGATGATTCGAACGAACTGTTCGAAGGGGACGAGGGCAGGGAAGGAGAGGAACAAACTGCTCGACAAGGAATTGAACATTTGAGAAACACGTGCAAACCGGTCAGAGCGAGATCGAGCAAACACCGCCCGAAGGGACTCGAGCATTTGAGAAAAAGGGCGAAGTGCTCAGCAGGGGTTTTGACCATTTGAGACAATGGAGCAAAGCGCTCGACAGGGACTAGCTCATTTGAGGTGCAGAAGAAGAAGTAAACGTTTCGAAGCGGAATATAGCATGTGAGAGGCAGGAGCAAGCCGCTCAAAAGCGGTACTAGCGCGTTTGGGAAACGGAAGCAAACCGCTTGGCCGGCAATTCGCAAAAAGGCGCAAACGGCCCACGAGGGGTTAGAGCATCTGAGAAAATGTAACATACCGTGCCAAAGAGACAACAACTGTTTGGACCAGGAGCAAAGTGTCCAGAATCTAGAACGTTTTGAGAAACGGGAGCGAACGGTACAGACCGGACTGAGGCAGTTGAAAAAATAGCAAATAGCTCGAAAGGGAGTATTTGAGGGGAAAAACGATCCGTGCGAAAAAGAAAAGAGCATTTAAGAAGATCCAAGGAAATTGGAGCGTTTCAGACAAAGGAGCAAGCCGCTCACAGGACCAGAGCATTTGATAACGAACAGACTGCTCTGAAGGGACTAGAGCATCTTCAAAAAGCGCAGCAAACCGGTCAGAAGAGACTGGAGTATTTGCCAGTCGCAGCGGATTTGAGTATTTGGGGAGGAGCAAACTGTTCGAAAAGCAGCACTGAGAGAAAGGAGCAAGCCGTTCGAAAAGGGGTTAAAAAGACATGAGAAAAAGAAACAAACCGCACGAAAAGGACCAGAGGTGACTAGAGCATTGAAACACAAGCGCAGGAAAGGGCGTAGGGCATTGGAGAACCGTAGCGTGCCGCTCGAAGCGACAAGAGCGTTTCAGAATATGGGGCACCGAAAAAGCACGTAAACAAAATGTTAGGATCTGCGTATAGACCATTGATAATGCAGCCAAATATGTAGGGGTATCCGGGTACGATGCCACAACTTGATTACAAAGTGCTCTAAAGGGACATAAAGGAGCAGAGCAGGTGAAGGAAGAAAAACCGTTCGAAAGGGACTAGAGACTAGAGCAAATGAGAGACGGAAGGAACCGGTAGAATCGGATTAGCGAAATTGGGCTGATAGAGAGAGCCGCTCGAAAGGGATTTTGACAAAATCATTGACATTAAAGAGCAGATTCGAGAGGGACTAGAGCGTGTGAGACACAGGAACAAGCCGCCGGTAAGGAGTCAGTAGTGGTGGTTGTAGTGGTAGAGAAGTAGTCGTAGTAGTAGTAGTAGTAGTAGTAGTAGTAGTAGTAGTAGCACTAGTATAAGTCGTACCAGTACCAGTACCAGGTACCAGTACCGGTACTGGTTAGTGCGAATACTCGTACCAGTAGTGGTACAAGTGCTAGCCGCTAGAAGAATTCAAGGAGATGGGTTGAGGGTTAAGGGTTTGAAAAGGGCGCAAAGGGAATCGAGCGTTCGTTTTTGGGGCAAACATACAAACTCAAAACTTCGAAGGGCTGAATCAAAAGCCTTCGTGTCGATCGAAGTATGGCTTGGAATATAGGTGGTTTTAGTTTTTGGGCTTGCTGTTCGTTTTCAGACGTTATGTTTAGGGAGCTTAGGGATTTATGTTCTTCTGGGTTTCGGCTTTCAGGTTTTTTTGTTGTTGGTTTCCAGAGGCCCGGCAAATGCGCATGGTAGCGTCTAAACCCTCAGCAGTACATAAGCCTTGACCCCACATGCTTGAAGCCATCAGGTTGCTCACCCTAATCCTCGTGTTTAAATCCGTTCACGTTCCATTCCTCCGAAATCCTACCCTTAAGACCATTTCACTCGAAACGCCCCAATCTCTAAGCCCCGAGCCCTTTCACTCGAAAAACCCTCAACGCTCAACTCTCAACTATGCCAGATGTTGCGAGCCTCCCTGGCTTCACGCCGAAAAACATCTCGTTGGACATCCGATCCTCGGCTTGACTTTGGCAGGTGTGCTTCTAGAGAGAAAAGGCCATGTCGAGGTTTATGGTTCAGGGTTCTGCAGGTTTTTGGAAAGCAAAATTGTCCGTTTAGAAGGGATCAACCTAGATTTGTTTAGCTGTTTTTCGATGCCCTTGTGGGGGTAGTTGCTGCTTTAAGTATATCATGGGCACTGAAATGCAACGTTTAGCCGACTAGTAGGCGGCAGGAAAGGGAGAGGGAATGAGACACCCTGTTGGTTTTCGTTGTCGGTAGAGAAGCTTCACGCCCGAATCGCAAAGATCCTGAGCGGCCGGGTTTCGGGTTTCAAACTTTAGATTCAACATTTGGGATTTCGTCCAAAGCCTGATTTGTCTTCACGTCTTTCGGAGTAAGGTCTGAGGTGTGGTGTTTCTGGGCTGGTTGCTGGCTTTGTCAAGGTTCGTTTATCCAAACCGCAAGCTTGTTCTGGTTATCTTTGTTATGACAACCTGAGCCCGAGGCTCTAAATGTGCAGTTTGGTGGGGAAGACACCTGGGGTTCGGGCTGTGCGGGCTTGCGGTTCAACTAAGCCTTGTTTAAGAGGCAGCCGCCGAAACCGAGGAAACATGGACAACGGGGACCTCAACAGGAGCGCTGGGCTCTTCAAGGGGATGCCCCCCCCCTCTTCCTTTTTTGGGGCCTACTAGGCTCATGATGATTTTTTCGTATTCTTATATGGGCATTCTTCTTGTTGTTAACATTCTCGTTGTGAATACTGTCATCATCATTATTATGGTTACTATTAATACTATTACTGCTGTTATTATTGTGCTTAGTATGAGTTTTATTACTGTTGCAAGTATTATTAATTATTGTCATTCTTAGTACTATTCGCAGTTGAATGCTGAAAATAGGGTTTCAACCATTCAGCGAAGGAGGCTAATCGGGGCTTCAAGTTAGAATAGCCGTGTTACAAGAACTTAGGCCTTACAACTTGCAACCCAAGAACACTACTTTTCTTATTTGTCTTCACACAGGAGCCCCAAATTGTACCATGAACAGTATGCTGTGCCGCACAGCCAACAGACCCAGAGCACAATCACCCGATTACCTAACTCCCCCCTCCCCCAATTTCCAACCAAACGCCCTATCTCCCGGAGCCCTAAAACCGGAGATTGGCAAGCCACGCTGAACCTGAGCCCTAGAAACGCAGCCCCTCATCAGGATTGTTGGCTTTCGGCATTTCGGTTTTCTTCATCATTTAGCTGGTTTTCTTAGTCCTCCCTTCCCCGCTCCTGCCGTGTCTGGCTCGGTTTGGGTTCCAATGTTTTGTTGGTATCAAGGTTTGGGTTTAGCAGCAACAGGCAGGTCGATGTAACCCTTGTGTCATCTTCTATCAGCAACGAGCTTTACAGCTCAAGCTTGGACGCCTGCCCGAACGCCAAGCCATTGGCCACAAACCTCTGAAGGCCAAATCTCGCCAGCATTTCAACCGAAACCATCGAGCTGTTAAGCCCCTTCCTTGACCGTTATCCTGATTCCCAAGTTAAACCATTACCCCCATTAGCCTTAAACCGCTGATCCCTTACGGAGCCCTTGTAGAAACCCAATTGGCGCTCGTTTAGGCGAGTGTTTGGAGACGACCTTGTCGTCGTTCGGAGACTTGGGCGCTTCTGGTGGGGTAATATAGAAGCCTGAATGTATTCCTTAAGGTTCCTTGCTGTATGTAGATGATATATTTAATGGCTGCCGCCAATGCCGCCGACCCCGAAGGGAAACCAGCTACCCACAGGGCTGCGGGTTCCTTTATGGTATAGTCTAGTTTGTGCAGTACAGCACGTACAGCAGATTATAGTGTAGTACAGTATGCAAAAGCCTGGCATATTCTACTAAACTATCTCGAACAGCAGAGCTGCGGGCGTGTCTCGACCTCCCGGCGGCGAACTCGGCGAGGATGCAGGCAGGGGCAGGGGTTCAGAGCAAGGATGCACGAGTTTCGTCAGTTCGGGTTGTGGGCTTCAGAGGTATAGGGTCACGCATGCCGTTGGCGTTAGTTGGTTTGGGTTTTCGCCCTTCGTGGGTTTTCGCCCTTTGTGGCGTTAGTGGGGTTGGGTCTTCGCTTTTGAAGTGGGGTTGGGTTTTCGCCCTTCGTGGCGTTAGTAGGGTTGGGTTTTCGCCCTTTGCGCGTTAGCGGGGTTGGGGTTTCGCCCTTTGCGGCGTTAGCGGGGTTGGGTTTTCGCCCTATGTGGCGTTTGTGGGGTTGGGTTTTCGCTCTTTAAGTGGGGGTGGGTTTTCGCTCTTTGTGGCGGTCGCGGGGCTGGCTTTTTCGCTCTCTGTGGCGTTAGTGGGGTTCGTTGTTCTGCCTTTTGTGCTGTTAGGTTTCGGTTTTGTGTGTTTCATTGTTGGTTGGGTGATTGTGTTTTGGTTTCTTGCCCTTTGTAGTGTAGGTTTCGGTTGTGTGTGTGTGTGTCGTATTTTTGGTTGTGTGCCTGGGTTTCGGTTTTTCGTCGTTCTGGCGTCAGGTTTCGGTTGTGCATGTTGTGTTTTTGGTTGGGTGTTTGGCTTTTGGTGTTGCGGCTTTTTGCGGCGTTAGGTTTCGTTCGTATGTGTTATATTCTTGGTTGCGTGTGTGGGTTTTGGTGTTTCGCCCTGTGTGACGTCAGGTTCGGTGCTGCGTGTTTTATTTTTTCATTGCGTGCTTGGGTTCTGGTTTTTCGCCCTTTGTGGCGTTAGGTTTCGGTTGCGTGCGTGTGTGTGCGTGGGTCGTTTTTTGGCTGGGTGTTCGGCTTTTGGTTTTGTCGCCCTTTGTGGCGTTAGGTTTCGGGTTGCGTGTGTTTTATTTTTTCGTTGGGTGTTTGGGTTTTGGTTTTTCGCCCTTTGTGTATATTGTGTTTTTGGTTGGGTGTTTGGGTTTGGGTTTGTTGCCCTTTGCGGTGTTAGGCACCCCTCCAACCGTAAACCCCAAACCCCTCGAACCCTAAACCCTAAACCCTAAACCCTAAAACCCTAAACCCTGAACCCTAGACCCTCGAAACTCTTCCGATAGCCTACAACCCTTAAGGTCCGACTGAACCTGAAACCGCAAAGCCCTGACACCCCAAACCTCTATCACCTAGACCGTTAGGTTTTGGTTTTGGCCCTTTGAGGCGTTAGTTTTTGGGTTTCGCCCTTTGAGGCGTTAGGTTTT